AAAATTAGATCACAACGCTAACTTGATTAGAGACTAAACTCAGTCTGCATGTATCTAAATCATACTACGGGATTAGCGGAGGCGGTTCCAGAAATACATATTCTAAAACCGTACGCTGACCTGGGTGCATGTTTACAAGATTCCCCACATATATTGATTGACTGGCGTTGTCACTTACCACGCGCCTTGTCCAATACAACACGATATTTATGTTTTGTTGCCATCATCCGCAGCACGATATTCACATTAGCAATACAAAAAAATAAGGGATCAGGATAATAATTTGAAAGTTATGAGTACATAAACCAAATATAAATGACATCTTGTTGCACAAGATCAACGGGGGCGGTGGGGTAGCCCAGTGGTTAAAGCGTTCGCTCCTCACGCCGAAGACCCGGGTTCGAGTCCCCACATGGGTACAATGTGTGAAGCCCATTTCGGGTGTCCCCCGTGTGATATTGCTGGAATATTGCTAAAAGCGACGTAAAACTTAACTCACTCACTCACTCACAAGATCAACAGTGTATCTGTTCTGATCAAGCGTTGAGGATGTTGATGACGAGTGACACGTTTGCAATGATATATCGTGAACTGTTCTGTTCATTGTGTGATGTACGTGTAATTGTATAATTGAATCAGGGCTGTTTCGATTTAGTCGGAAAGCTTCGAGACAACCGAAGTTTCGGGTTATAGGGTTATATATTTGCAGGTTAATATGGACATACTTACAAGGATTAACATGCAACAGGTACCATGTATTTATAAATTACATTATGAGGAGAGGCACTAGCTTTCGGAGGCTTCGAGACAACCGATGTTTCGGGTTATAGGATCTTATATGTGCAGGTTGATATTGACAGACTTGCATGGATTAACATACAACAGGAACCATAACAGGATATATTAATAGAATGCATTGTGGGGAGCGGCAATAGCTTTAGGAGACTTCGAAACATACGAAGTTTAGGGTCAAAGGAATATAATAGAATTATATAACAGAATATACTATCTGGTTAGACGATGGAACATGTGAGGGTTGACATGGACAGACATCAAATTTCGGCATGTAGATATCCAAGCAGGAAATCTCGTTAAAATACATTATGTCAAATGAAACTAGCATCATTGTTATCTAGGTCAGTTGTATGTAGGTGTGAAATGTGTGAAGGACAGGTGGTGATCTTTCATCAACAGGCCTAATTAGCAGCTAGCTTCGAATGTTTGTCATGCCATTTGTGATAGGTGACAGGTGATGTTAGCGTGATTGTAAAACTTGTGAAATGTCCACGTCGTTCGTGCTAATTCTCTCCGAGTACCACAGCTGCGTGTAGTGTAGTGTGGTGTGGTGTGGTGTGGTGTGGTGTGGTGTGGTGTTGTGCGGTGCTGTGCGGTGCGGTGCGGTGCGGTGCGGTGCGGTGCGGTGCGGTGCGGTGCGGTGCGGTGCGGTGTCCATAAATGTATTATGGATAGTGACAGTTGAACCGGATAGTGGAAGAAGAACTAGTAGAACTAGTAGTAGTAGAAGCAGCAGTAGTAGTAGTAGCAGCAGCAGAAGCAGTAGTAGTACTTTAGTAGAAGTAGTAGTAGCAGTATAGTAGTAAGAAAAGCAGTATTAGTAGCAGCAGCAGTAGGAGTAGTAGTAGCAGTAATAGTAGTTGTAGTAGAAGCAGCAATAATAATAGTAGCAGTAGTACTTGTAGTGGAAGTAGTAGTAGCAGCAGCAGTTGTAGTAGTAGTTGAAGAAGGAGACGAAGTAGCAGTGGTAGTAGAAGATGAAGTAGCAGTAGTAGTAGCAGCAGCAGTAGCAGTACAAACAGCAGTAGCAGTAGTAATAGGATCAGTAGTACCAGTAGCAGTAATAGTAGCCTGGAGGTTAACGTGGTTGCTCCTCACACCGATGGCGGGTTTGATTCCCTACTAAGTATGTTTATCTCATTCGTTATGTCCAGTGCTAATAAAGAAATAAAGCTCCTCTTCGCTCACCAACATTATTCTGTGCAACAGTGAACACAAGTAATAGTATACGAACGGTTCTACCAGCCACATAAATATGACTTGCACACAGCATGACTGTGATCCTTCACGTCGATATATAGTCAATACGACAGAGATAAAACCTCAGTGGTATTGTGTAACGTAATTAACAGATACAATCTTTGCTGATACCAGCTTAAACATTAGGTCTTGATGTAACAGCAGTTACGTGGTCCTGAACACAGCTTGGGGATAGGGAACATAATCCTTCTGGGCACCAAAGCAAAGATCTCTAGTATTACGTGGAGAAGTTTAGTAAACCATAATTTGACGCCATGTGTTGGTGACGAAGGTTTCTAATAATGTATTGAAACCTTTACGATTCTGCCAGATGGGTTCAGCTACTCTCGACCAACAAATTAGGAGCTATACCTACTGTCTGCATGGTTTGACATATACAAACCTGACCCAGCAGTGAATGGGTACCTGGTGGGATAAGTCATATGACTGTTAACCTAGAGCCTCACTGGCAGCTTGGGTTATCCAGGGTAATAATACGATAACGCTTCGAGCGTGCACAAGTGCGTGGAAACAGGCGCTTTATAAATAGCCATTATTATTATTCAATTTATTATATTATATCCAAATCAATATAGGCAAGAACATACTCAACCTCAGGTGAGGTGAGGTGAAATTGGGTTTAACGTCGTGCTAGAGAATATTTCGCTCATATGACGACGTGCATGCGTGTGTGTGTGTATGTGTATGTGCGGCTGCTTGTACTAGTTCAGGCTGAAGCTGGTTTTATAGTGCTAGCCCACTGAGAGACCATGCCGCAGTGAAGCATGAATACCCCACTCAGACACATTATACTGACTCCGAGCCGACCAGTCCTTGTTGTACCCATTACGGCCGAGCGCCAGGCAGGGACCAACAAGTACCATACTTTAACGTCTTTTTGGTATGATGCGGTCGGGGATCGAAACCACGACCTTCTGCTCTCCGGGCACTCAACCTCAGGAACTACGTGCTTATTCGCACATGCCTTCATACAGCCATTCCTGAAACCAGAGTCCATTGTACGATTGCGATTATATCAGGAACAGCTGTTAATGAATTACTAAAACAGTGATGACGCCAGGTGTTTGCGAAAAGGTAAGCGCGCCGTGCCCTTCCTAGAACACGTCACAAATCAATGTATAGGTAGGTTCAGCTGAACAAACAACCGGAAACATGGTACAAGTCAAAAGAATGTAAGAAAGAAAGTCACAGGAAAAAAGTCATGGATAAAAAGTCACAGGAAAAAAGAGGCGGTGGGGTAGCCTGTAAGTGGTTAAAGCGTTCGCTCGTCACGCCGGAGACCCGGGTTCGATTCCCCACATGGGCACAATGTGTGAAGCCTGTTTCTAGTGTCCCCCGCCCTGATATTGCTGGAATATTGCTAAAAGCGGCGTAAAACTAAAGTTACTCACTCACTCACAGGAAAAAAGTCACAATACAATAATGTATATACTAGTAATATAATATATACTTTGGGTTGTAAAATGTCTCAGTTGTTATAACAGCTTCTATTTCTGACATGATAACATAATTAATGAGGTAATTGGAGTGTGAAACCAAGCGTGAGAGGCCACTGATCATTGACGGGGGTAACTCTGTTAATTAAGTAATGAGAGTTGTCTACTGTGAAAACATTAAGGTTGGGTACTTACTGTTAATCTTAATAAGGTTTTATCCGTGACCTTTTTCCTGTGACTTTCTTTCCGATCACCAGTCAAAATAGGGAAGTGCATTCGAAATAATTTTAGTCACGGAGACCTGTTGTACAATTTCCAAAATGTAAAACCTTCAACATTCGAACTTGTATCCTTATCCTTCTCATTTGTTAATCCAATCCCAAATTCACTGAAAATACCATCATACAGAAGTCATCCTATTACTTTGTATTCCACCCCGAACAAGACCGTCCCTGGCGACAGCGGCACTGGTTATGTAGGCGTTGTGTTCCATGTTTGTCAAAAACCAGTGCTCGGACATCCAATCCCATACCTTCAAACCCTTTGACTTACCACCCCCAAATACAACAGATATAAGGTTCCAAGCAGCGTTAAAATGAAGTGGTAATGATAATATAGTTTGTCATCGAGCAGACCCGTGAAGATCCGGGTTAGAATTGATCTTCAGTAACCTATGCTTGTCGTAAGAGGAGACTAACGGGATCGGGTGGTCAGGCTCGCTGACTTGGTTGACATATGTCATCGTGTACCAATTGCGCAGATCGATGTTCTTGCTGTTGGTCCCTGGATTGTCTGGTCCAGACTCGATTATTTACAGACCGCCACCATATAGCTGGAATATTGCTAAACTAAACTCACTCACTCACTCACTTTAACTCGTTTTGAGTACATTGTGTAAGTGTAAGGTCTTGATCACGTCTCGCTTTCTTCACACATTGCGTGTCGTGTAGCGTAAAACTAAATTCACTCACTCACTCATTCACTCACTCACTCATCGAGCAGTTTGGATATACCAGGCCAAAGGATTTTACACCATTGAAACAAAGGCAAATACGTTAAGTAAGCTGTATGGCGTAGTGGACCAAACAATCCAGTGATCAACATCATGAGCATCGATCTACGGAACTGGGATACGATGACATGTGTCAACCAGGTCAGCAAGCCTGACCACTCGATCCCATAAGTCACCTTTTAGGACAATCATGGGATTTTGAAGACCAATTCTAACCCGGATCTTCACGGGTTTGGCTCCGTTAGAGAGCTGTTTTATGCTCACTGTGATGAAATCAGACGGAGCTATTTGTTCATCATGCTATCAACGTTCCGTCACATCTCTAATTCTCACATTCCGTCTATCCAACACTCTGTCAAACACCCCCCAATCCTGCAACATAAATTCCACCAAACCACACACCCCTCCTCACTAGATAATGTCAGGCCCCTCATTCAGACAACAATATAATCCCCTTCTAGTTATTGAGAACACATCGAACGTTTCTCCCCGTCTACATGGTCATCTGGAAGCACTCCTTTCTTCCTTATGGCTCTCGTTTAGTGATGGGGGATTACAAGAAGAAACTGTTAATCCTTAGTTTGTGCCGTGTGACCGACCAGGAAGGTTTGTTAGGCACTTTTCACGGCGTCAGAGTTATGTTATGATGCCAGCGGATAATCACTGTGATGAATGTTCATGATAAGATTGGCAAACAAGATGGAGGATAGAAAACGAACGTTAAACCGTTATCGGGGCGAATTTCATTTCAACCTTCCGTGATTCCATAACTCTATCAGTGTCGCCGACCGATTTTCCAATACTGGGTGCACCGTTACTACTTGATAATGGTTTTAGTATTCGAATTATGTCGGACACAAAGAACGTTTCTGCAATCCTTGTTGACACCGGTGCTTACAGAGGTTAAATAAACCGTGTTCAATCGGCGTTAGATCACCACAAATGTTTATTCGTTGTTTGGATTGGGGCGGTGAGGTAGTGCAGTGGTTAAAGCGTTCGCTCGTCAGGCCAAAGGCCCGGGTTCTTTTCCCCGCATGGGTAATATGTGTGAAGCCCATTTCTGGTGTCCCTTTACTCAGTTGCAATACGCAAAATGTATGATGAAAAAGTAAAATAACGTATATCCCGTTTGGTGCCCTGCCCTGCCCTGCCCTGCCCTGCCCTGCCCTGCCCTGCCCTGCCCTGCCCTGCCCTGCCCTGCCCTGCCCTGCCCTGCCCTGCCCTGCCCTGCCCTGCCTCAGTGATACTCTTCTTGATTTGATGCTGCTGCTGTTCCTGATGATGATGATGATGATGATGATGATGATGATGATGATGATGTGATGGTGATGATGATGATGGCGACAACGATGACGACGACGATGGTGACGGTGATGGGGGCGATGGACAAATAGCTTCTACCTTATCAATTTCTCTCTCTCTCTCTCTCTCTCTCTCTCTCTCTCTCTCTCTCTCTCTCTCTCTCTCTCTCTCTCTCTCTCTCCATGAGGTATATATATATTCTCTATTCAAACAAATCTCTGTAACTATGAGAAATCCTGAAAAATTACCGATAACAAAACAAAGTCACACAAAGTAAGCAAATGATTCAAAATATATTTCTTCTTGATCGAATTTGCATTTTAATTGCCATGCGTGTTACAAATGTACTTCTCAGTTTAGAAACCTGAAGGAGGCGAGCGACTCTGCCTATATCTAATAATAACTTTAGGAATTCTTCTGTAATTGTTTGGTGAACATTGCAAGGCTTCTGGTATCCACTTCAATCGATGTAGACTTACCGTTGACAGTATTTGCACCATTGTCGTTTACGTGACGGGAGAGCGTTAAATATTGGTCAGTGTGATTTTAATGTTCTGGTAATAACAGAGTGTAACCTTGGTTTTTTAATGTAACACTGTATAACATTGCGTAACACAGCATTTCTGTTACATAACGGTGTGTCAGGGTAATATGGGCGTTACTTCGAGGTCATGCAGGCCTCAAAGTTGAATTGGGGTTTACGCCGTTAATGCAAAATTCCAGCAATATCACCGCGGGGGGCACCAGAAATTGTTAGCGCTTTGACGAAACCAACGGCAGTCAATATATGCTTATCTACCAAGTGTCATAACTGTATCGGGTACGACTGAGGTACCTAATTCAGCAGGGTTCGAAGAACGAGTTGTTTTTCGGCTACCATGCCATCTTCTCCTTCCATGCATATCAAAAGATATGGTAAGATCCGAATGCACCAATATGATGTTCTATATATGTATACAATATGCATTCAGTAACAATCAAGACAACACACTCGAGTGATTCAGACACCTTAAAATAATAATGTTTTCAAACGTGCAATAAATCTGGACAGATGTTTCAACGAGAATATTTTTTACGTGATATTGTTTTACGTAAGTTAAGTGTATTGGACTAGGTGTAGCAATTGCTCGGAATACCATCTAATCGTTGTTTTAAAAGAGCTTCACAGCTTCACAAAAGTAAAACTCGCCTCTAACAGCAGATGAGTTGTATAATGCACAAACACGGTCTTCTCTCAGTAACCCTCGCCATCGGCCCTTTTCAACGGGCAAATTATGATTTGATGTGCGACATTTTAATATCAGTAAATATAGTTTGGGTTAAAGTAGTAGGATTTTTTCGAATTCTGATAATTCTTTGAAGTGTTGGTATAAACATTTAGGACATAAAACATTTCGCGACACTTTTGAATGTATTGCTTGACCTTTGAGAATTCTTTTGACGTGCGATACCAGCGATGACGTTGATGATCAAATTGATGGGTTTATAAATAATTCTGACAGTTCGACATCGTTAATGATCAGTACAAGAGTGGATACAGTGTTAACGATTGTTGTTAGCAGCACTTGCACCATGGTAAACTGTTAATAGACCAGGTGACAATATGAAGCCATTACTTTATCATCCAAACTGTAAGACATCTATTGTAATGATGATGACGACGATGTTGAAGATGATGTAGACGACGACGGTGATGGTGATGATGATGAAGACGAAGGAGATGATGATGATGATGATGATGATGATGACGGTGATGATGATGGTGATGAAGACGACGGAGATGGTGATGATGATGATGATGATGACGGTGATTCTGTCGACGATGATGGGGTGGTAGTGATGATCATGATGATGATGGTGATGATGAAGACGATGATGGTTATGATGATGACGACGACGGTGACGATGTCGATGATGATGATGGTGATGATGATAGGACTATTTTGAAGACAGGACAAATGTCGTGAGGGATACAGTCAAGAGATTATGAACATGGGAACCTAAGTCACACTGGGATGGCACAAAGGGATGGATAAGTTCATACAGATAAGAGGGTACCAGTCAATTAAAACTTTCATATATCAAATACAGTTCACGAATGGGCAGCTAGTGGAGGCTTTTATATGCTGATGTTTTAATCTGCTAATGATGCATGCTTCTGTACCATCTATAGCGTGAGAGTGAGACTGAGATAGGACACTGTTGAATTAACCAGTCTAGGTGGGACATGAGGTCATACATCGTGTGAAATAGGTAACAAGATGCTGCCTTTTCTACCGAGCAAACGGAAGTTGCATTTTTGACATAGATCTGTGTTTAAATGAATAAGCTAGCACAAACATACACGCCAGCATCTGTGGTAGCGCGAGAAATTTTGACACTAACATGTGTGACTGCAATAACTCTCAATATTGAAATCCCACCAAGACAACCTCCGACTTACTGAAGGTGAGTTTAAGCTTGTTGGCTGACATCCGTCTTTAGTGCGTTTTAAAATCACAGTGATCGGACAGGTGGAATGTCTACAAGACTGTCATCACCGTCAGCATATCGGGAAATCCCGTGGTCTTATTGATGTTTGCAACATGACCTGTATATAATACAAAGAGTACCGGACCCAGAACAGATCCCAGTGGAACCCCCGGATGAAATATAATCCTCATTTGACCAGATTAATCTTTACAAAAATCAATAATCTGTCTCCCAGAAACATGACGAATAGTGCCCTAGCTTACTATACAATGGATTTACATATCGCGTTTGAACACCCAACTCTTTTGTCAGATTTAACTCTTTTTACAGATGATACTATTACCATTGACGTACTACAGGTTATTTTTCTTCACCTTGTCCTCTTTTGAATACGTTATAATTTTAGTATTGGACTGTGACGTCAAGCACACGTTGCTTTCGTGCAGTAAGATATATTCTGGTTAGCAAGAATTGAGCTGTTTGGCATTAACAGCACCTGGTACTTGGATCCCAGTTTATTTGTTGGACAAGGTCGTGGGGTATTGTGACGTGATGACATGGAACGTATTGGTTATGTGAACTAGTACACGAAGTCAGATTGTACATTTTGATTGTCAGTGAGTGAGTAAGTGAGTTTAGTTTTACGCCGCACTCAGCAATATTCCAGCTATATAGCGGCGGTCTGTAAATAATTACGTCTGGATCAGACAATCCAGTGATCAACAGCATGAGGATCGATCTACGCAATTGGGAACCGATGACATGTGTCAACCAAGTCATCGAGCCTGACCACACGATCCCGTTAGTCGCCTCTTACGAACAAGCATGGGTTACTGAAGATCAATTTTTACCCGGATCTTCACGGGTCCAGGAACCCTTGAAGAAACGGGTTATAAAACCGGTCTTCAGCAACCCATACTTGTCGCAGGGGTACGACTAACGGGATCGACTAACACCAAATAAAGTTAACGATTATAGTGTCTGTTACATGAATATGTCTTCAAAACAATGAACAATATTATAAACATAACTATGTACAGTGCTGCACTAAAGAATCCTGCCCACCGGTAATCGCTCCTGTTAATCCACTGTGGTTGTACCGGAGTGTTGGTTATTATACCTACATCTTGGATCACCCATAGTGTGATTCGTAACTTAACGCTGACGAAATAAAGTATGGAGTGACTACAGTATCTGATCTGCATGTTCATATTTTAGCAACCCGTAAAGATCCGGGTTAGAATTGGTACTCAGCAACCCATGCTTGTCGTAAGACGCGACTAACGCGGTCGGGTGGTCAGGCTCGCTGACTTGGTTGACACACATGTCATCGTATCCCAGTTGCGTAGATCCAGGTCCAATATGTCAATCACTGGGTTGTCCAGACTCTGTTTATTAGCATTGCTGGTTGCGGCATTAAACCAGAATTAAACGGACTTGGAGCCCATGCTGAAACTGTTTTCATGTCACTTTCATTCCTCAGAACGAGAGAAGCCAACTGTATTGGCTATCTGACCATTGGTTTCTCGTCGGTCACCATGTATCATGTATTTTTTCATCAATCACCTTAGTGGTTTATTTGGTTTATACATGTCACCGTATCCCAACATCATAGATCGATGCTCATGATGTCAATCAGTGCATTGTCTGGTCCAGTCTCGATTATTTACAGACCGCCGCCATATAGCTGGAATATTGCTGTGGGCGGCTTTAAACAACAAACAAACAAACGTGAACGTTTGTCCCTGCTACTGATCACAAGTTTGTCTCGGTCAGACTTCATAACACTGCAGTGAATATTGTTGAAATCAGCCTAAAACATAGTCCAGTGT